GTAATCTCAGAAAACGAATTCTATGCTAAGAACCCAGGTTTTGAAATTCTCCAAGCCAGGCTCGGTGACTCAGCCTGTAATCCCGCGCCTTTGGGAGGCTGAAGTGAGTGGATTGCCTGAGCCCGTGGGTTCGAGACCCACCTGGGTAGCGAGACCTCATCTCTACAATAAATCAAAAAATCAGCTGGGTGTGGTAGCGCGCGCCTGTAATTCCGGCTACTCGGAAGGCTGCGGCGGAAGGATAGCTGGCGCCCAGCAAGTAGAGGCTGCGGTGGCCGGGAGCGGCCACTGCACTCCAGTCTGGGCGACTGAGTGAGACTCTAACTCAAAAAAAAAAGAAAAAAAAAAGAAAGAAATTCTACAAGCCCCGGTTTGAATTCTGCCTCTGCCACTTACTAGATCTGTGACTTAGGGTGATCACTTAGGATCTCAAGTTTCATGCTAGTAAAATTAGAATACTAACAGACTTTTAAAAGTTATGGTAAGTGCTAAGTAAGATAATAGAAGAAACGTGTTTAGCACAATGCTTGATATATAGTAAGAACTCAGTACACAGCTGTCTGCTGCTAAGATGATTGTGATAATGCTGTTCATGATGGCACTTGTTATCATTGGTCCCAATTTCCTTGTCAGTAAAAGGGAGGTAATTCAGGTGCCCTAATTCAGGTGCTCACTGCCAAAGTCAGACCCTTCCTGCCAGGTGGGACTAAAGCACGGATTTCTCCACTATTCTTCCCTCTGAGGGAACCCTGAAATGTGGGCCACCAGAAGTATGAGCTATAGGGCTGAGTGGTCACCTCGTGGTCACTCACAGAGGCATCAGAAAGGCATGTGTCTGAATTGGCTTAAGTCCCCTGCTGCCAGTGTAATTTTAGTAGGCTATTTAAATTCTCTGATTCTATCCTTCCTTACCTGGCAAGTGTTGCTAATGTGGTGCTCCTAGTATAGTGAAAGGTCATCTGGTCTTGCAACAGAGAAAATGGGGTACAGCCAGTGGGCTGGCTGTGCATCCTTGGGTAAGTTACTTGACTTCTCATATCCTCATTTTCTGTATGAAGTTTTTGAGAAGAGTAAATTGAAGCCACATATTTGAAATCACCTGTTGCGATGCATGTCAGTGCTATCATCAGTTGAACTTTCTCCTCTGTCTGCTACCCGTTCACTTCCCTCTGGTGCTTTTACAGTATAGCCCTCACCCTAATCATAGTATAGCTGTAACATAGTTACATGCTGATCCACAAATGCAGGGCTCTAGGCAGCGACCCCACAACAACGTCTGACACATAGCAACTGCGCAGGCCATACTTGCTGAATTGAATTTTGCCGGTTCTAATTGATGTACTTTTTGGGAGGCAAGATTACATATGAGTTAAGAGCAATTCTGTAGCCTGGAGTCAAATCTCAGTCATGCCACTTAGTAGGTGGGTAATTTCAGGCAAATTAATTAATCTCTCTGGGCCTCAACCTGCTTAATTGTAAAATGGGGATAATAATATCATCTCATTCACAAGGTTGTAGTAAGGTTTAAATAAATAATTGTAAAGGGCTTAAAACAGTGTCTAGCATGCTTTGAGAGTGTTTTGCTAAAAAAAAAATTCACCGTCTTTTAAAAAAAGGAGGGGGCAGGTGATAATATTCATACTGTTCATCTTATGGTTTCATTGGGATAATTACATAGAATAATTAGTAGGAAGACATTTTTTTAAAGGGTAAGGTCACACACGGATGTTATTCATTATGAGATTTAAAAATTTTGCAGATCAGCTCTACCCTACTAGATAAACTATACTCAGGGAAATGAGCTAGGAAGAAACCAGGGATTAAAAAAAATAAAGTCAATCTAATAAACTGATTTAATTTTAAATTGCATTAAAACAAATACATGAGGATTCTGTGAGATTGGATTATGTGATTTTTTATTTACTTTTTAAAATTATCCCACTTTTCTACAATGAAATGTGTTACTTCTATAAATAACAATAAAAGTAGCTTTTTGAAAATAATTATTTTATTTTATTTGAGACAGAGTCTTGCTCTGTCACCCAGGCTGGAGTGCAGTGATGCGATCATGTCTCACTGCAGCCTTAACTCTAGGTTCAAGCGATCCTCTACCCTCAGCTCCTGAGTAGTGGGGACTATAGGTGTGTGCCACCACACCTGGCTAATTTTTGTATTTTTGTAAAAACGGTGTCTCACGTTGTCCAGGCTGGCCTTGAACACCTGACCTCGAGCGATCTTCCCACCTCAGCCTTCCAAAATACTGGGATTAGAGGTGTAAGCCACTGTGCCCAGCCAAAATAATTAAAATCCTAAAAAATCCTTTAAAAAAAAAAGAGGGCGGGCAGAAATTCATTTACAGCTATAAATTATATTTAGGTTTGGGAGGTGGGGCAACTGTATCCTTCATAAAATAGAACATAAATAAATATTAATATTATAATCCTTAACAAATTTCCTTTCCAGGCCAGCTATAAAATGGTTGTTAAGATAATTTTCATTCAAAATAGAAGAGAAATACCTAATTCAAGAATGACCACCAGCAGGTGGAAAATTATTTCAGAAGGAAGAGCATTGAGAATGCTCCTTAGAAGGAAAATAATGAGCAACTGAACAAATGAATGATTATTGACAAGACTGGTTAAAAAATCACAGAACCTCATGGTTGGAAGGGCCTGAAAAATCATATATTCAGTTCTCCCATCCAAAGTCTGAATCCCTTTTATGTCTTTCCAGGTAGTCCATGCAATGTCCAGGCTGCTCCAACCAGTAAAAGGATTTCCTTAAAATGAGCTGAACTCTATTTCCACATAGCTTTCCTTTCTCTTCTCCGTTTCCATCCTTAGGGCCTTTTCCGACCAGATGGCTCTTTATTCTAGAGAACAGTCCCTCAGACAGTTCAGACTAATTAAAGCAAAGCAACCCAAAATGCATGTTGTCTTGACTTTTTAAAATGTGAAGTAAATGAAAATGGAGAAATGCAGAATATAAATAATCTAGTGCCGAGTCAATGCTTTAAACATATAACCTTACAGAAAACACTGCAAGCCATGGTGCAGGCAGAATGCCCTCACCAAGCAATGCCAGCAATTATCCAGGTGTCCAGAGGTTTAAAGAGACCCAGAGAACTGCTGGCTGGTGAGAAATCTGTAGGCACAGGCATGGGGGATGGGAGACTCTCTGGAGTTTGTCACTTCACTGGGACTCCTCCCAACTGCAAGTAAAAACGCAGCTAAGGACAAGTGGGTCTGCACAGGCAGAGAAAGATGGAGACCAGTCTTCTCTGGGGCACAAATGTACCACAGAATTATTCTGGGGTTTAACTTACATCTTTCCGCCACGGTTTGTACTAGCTCAATAGTAGTATCCCTTGGAGCATAGCAGCACTTTAATAGTTGACTTTACTGAATTTTTTTCCAAAGGCATTATGGGTGTTTGGATATGAGGGTGAAAGCTTTGGCGAAACTTGCAGCTTGAGAAAAGTTGGTGATTGCTTGAAATAAGCATCATTCCTAGTTGATTTTGTGCCAGATCTATTTTCTAGGATATAGCCAATTTCTCTTGCTTGGACATCTTGGTTTCTACATTTGAATTGTTGTCCTCTCCAAATCTCACACTGAAATGTGATCTCTGACAGAGGTGGGTCCTAGTGGGAGATGATTGGGCTATGAGGGCGGATCCCTCCAGAATGGACTGGTGCTGTTTGCTTTATTAGTTCACATGAGAGCTGATTGTTTAAAAGAACCTGGCACCAGCCAGGCTGGGTGGCTCAGCCTGTAATCCCAGTGCTTTGGGAGGCTGAGGTGAGTGGATTGCCTCAGCCCAAGGATTCGAGACCCGCCTGGGCAACTTGGCAAGACCTCATCTCTACAATTAAAAAAAAAATTTAGCAGGGCATGGTAGCGCACACCTGTAGCTCCAGCTACTTGGAAGGCTGAGGCGGAAGGATCGCCAGAGTCCAGCAGGTTGAGGCTGCAGTGTCTGGGAGCGGCCACTGCACGCCAGTCTGAGTAACAGAGTGAGATGCCAACTCAAAAAAAAAAAAAAAAAAAGAACCTGGCACCACCTCCTCTCTTGCTCCTGTTCTCACCATATGAAACATCTGATCCCCTTTCCCTTCAGCCATGATTGTGAGCTTCCTGAGGCCTCACCAGGAGCAGATGTTGGTGCCATGCAGGACCATGAGCTAAAATAAATAAACTACCCAGCCTCAGGTATTTATTGATTGCAATGCAAAACAGACTGTAACAATTTCAAAAGGATATTCATGGGGAATAAATTCCTCTCTTGTGATCAGAAGCTGTTGGGACAGAAGGGGATGGCTATTCTGTTTTTCAAAATCAGAGCTGAATAAATGCTTGGAAGAGAAGAAGCATGACACTCAACATAAGAAACACTTATACAGAACTAAATACCTGAATGGCTATAGGGAATTGTGGGACAGGGAACAAGAGTAACAAAAACAGTAGAAAAAAACAGTCGTAAATCCAGTCTTTAGCCCTCAGCAGATGTGTGACAGCTCATATCATGAACATCTGAATTTGAGATTCATGTTTTCAGGTTTTTCCATCACTACCTGGAGATATTACATAGTCAGGACCTTAGCCTAGTAAATAGTCTACTTTATTTGGCTCTCCCTGCCTTTCTATAAAATTCATTGGTATATGTTGACACTCTGGAATAAACCTACTAAGTTTGTAAGCAGCATACAAGCTAATAGCCACAACTTGCAGATGTTGAGTTTTAGGAACACAACAAAAAGCATATCCTCTTTCTTCCTTTATGCCTCGTCACAGTCACCAATTTTGGTAAAACCCTAATATGAGAAGAATGAGAATTTTTAATTTGTGTCACCTGTCACCACTGACAGTTTTCTTGAAGATTAATATCCCACTTAAATAAATTAGATTTTGTGAATAGTTTCACCCACCTTCTTCTTCCCTCATCTCCACTCTCTGGATAGCTGAAGAGCAAGTATTCTGATATACAAAAGGCATTCTTACCTCCGTTTGCTGGGGATGACCCCCATCTCTTCACTGTCTCCCTCCAGCGTGACTCTCCTGGCCTGCCACCACTCATCGTCAGAGGCATTGATGACATGGAGAATATCGCCATATTTAAAACTAAGTCCTTGACTTGGCAGCCCGCTGTCCTTGCTCTTGTCATAGTCAAACATGGCTCTGGAGGAAATGACAAGAGAAAGCATGATCAGGAATCTCTGCCACCACAGATTTAGGATTCATGGTTTCAAATGTTCACTCTGGCTCTGAAAACCCATCCTCATTGATACTAATTCCCAGGATGACTCCCTGGATCATAGTTCACATCCCTACTGCTTTGGCTACAACTTAAGGCTAGTCTTTGCTTCTCCTTGGTGGTCACAGGGGCAGCCTGCAGATCCCTAAAACTGGGGTCTGCCTCTTTTCTTGGAGACCATCAGATTTATAATGTGACAATAGGATATGAGAAAGGCAGTTTACTACCTGAGTTTCCCCCCCCCACTACAATCAAATTTTAAAAATTACTTTAAAAAAGGAAAATAATGAAGAGAAACATGATTATTGTTCTAAATGAAGTATTTGGTGTTATAATCAAATCCTGTCCAATGTCTCAGCCTGTAGAACTCTTCCTTTTATAATGGGAAAAAATGGTAATACCTTAAATATTCACCAATAGGTGACTGATTCTTCTACTCAGTGGGATATTGGACCATCACTGAAATTGGATTGTTGACGAGGTTAATGTAATAACCTGAATAAATACTTAAAATGCAATACATGAAAAAAATCTATGTTTATGTGTGTGTGTGTGTGTGTGTGTGTGTGTGTGTAGACAGAAAAATCATATGAAAAATATCACAAATTATTTTGCTTCCATATAATGCCAAGCCTACCTCATCATTGCATTTATCACTCTGAATTATAATTCTTGCTTTCTGTCTTACATTACCCCTACTAAAGAGCATTTGCTGAGCATTTGTTAAGGCTAATGTGTATGATGCGGACATAAGGCAGAATCAAAATTATGAACAGGACCTTGGATAACAAGCTGTCATCTTAAGGGAGGTGACCATTGGTCACAAGTCCTATATTGTCCACCTACTTCTGTATCTTTCACTCTTGAAAGTCACCACCACACACATATAGCATATGATTTCTCTGGAGAAGCAGACTTTACCACTTCTCTGTTTATTCTCCTTTGATTTCATTCTAAGAATTTCCTTGGAGTATAACCCACTATATGCAAAACTAGCAAGATCTGGGGAACAGATTTTTCCCAAAAAAAATCTATGTGTTTTTTTTTTTTTAAAGATGTGTTCACACTGAGGGCCAAGTGTGTTTTTTTTCTATTTCTTTTTTTTTCCCCCATCAAAGAAATATCACATCTGCTGCCATGGCAACCAGAAAGAGCTGAAGACAGCATCTAGAGCTCTTAAACACAGCAGGAAAAGTTGAATTACTTGCAACACTGTCCCTTCTTCTATTAAATTTGTCTCCAAGAAGTGGAATTTAAAGATATTTTCTTGGTCCTAGCACTCAGAATTAATCATTTTTCCTCACCCACCCTTACTAAAGGCTCGAACAAAGCCCCAGTCAGGAGCAAGGGGCTGGAAGAAAGGCAGAGATCCATTTCCGATACTTCTCTGGCTGTGGGATGTGACATACGTTAATTAACATTCCTGAGCCACAGGAATTTTTGGTGCAAAATTAGTCTAATAACTAAATTCACATGGAGCTGCTGTAAGTGTTAATGAAATAATATACACACAGTACTTTGCCCATGGTAGGTGCAGTGTAGCAGAGTGTAGTATCGTGCATAAGAATATACTACTGAATATGAATAGACACTCCTCAAAAGAAGATATGCGGGCAGCCAACAGACATGAAAAAGTGCTCAACCTCACTAATCATCAGAGAAATACAAATCAAAACCACATCAAGATACCACCTAACTCCACTAAGAATGGCCATCATTAATAAAACAAACAACAACAGATGCTGGCAAGGAAGCGGAGAAAAGGAAATGCTTCTACACTGCTGATGGGAATGCAATCTAATACAACCTCTTTGGAAAACAGTGTGGCGATTTATAAAAGAACTAGATATTGATCTTCCATATGACCTAGCAATCCCCCTACTGGGAATATATCTGGAGGAACTCAAATCATTCTACAAAAAAGATACCTGCACATGCATGTTTATTGCAGCACTATTCACAATAGCAAAAACATGGAACTAACCATGCTGCCCATCAAAACTGGACTGGATAAAGAAATGTGGTACATATACACAATGGAATATTATGCAGCCATAAAGAAGGACAAACATATGGACTTCACAGCAATGTGGATGGATTTAGAGTCTATAATACTTAGTGATCTATCACAGAAACAAAGAACAGAAAACCACATGTTTTCACTCATAAGCAGACCCTGAACATTTACCATAATACTGTAAGAAAGGGATTGGCAGTAGTAGGATACTGCCAGAGTGTGTGTGGAGAGGGGACACAACATCAGTAAGGGTACCTGATTTCAAACCACCCAAAGGTATTTCTTATCCCAAAAATCTTTGAACTGCTGGCTTGGCTTTAGACTCCTCCTGGATGTAAAGTGTGGGGAGCTGAGGTAGAGAAGCTATTAGGAAGGCTGGTAAGTGGTAGCCAAGAGGGCAGACTCTAGGGTCAGAGTGCCTGGGTTTACAACTTCTTAAGTGTGTGATCTTGAGAAAGTTTCTTAACTTCTCTGGGTCTCAAATTTTCTTAACTGTAACGTTGGTACACAAATAATATCACCTATCTCAAAGAGTCATGATGAGAATTAAATGATATAATATATGTAGAGTGCCAGGCAAGTGTTGCAATACTCTACATATATTATACCATTGCAACACTTGCCTTACCATTACACAGTGGAGGTGGAGGTGACCAAAGCTGCATAATGTCAGTCACTTGTTCATCCATCCATGCCAAATGGATTGTCAGGGAGGTGATGGAACAGCAATGCCAGAACTGCTAAAGTGAGAATGATCAGGCTTGTTCTGGGTCCCTATTTATTAAAGTATTTTAATAAGCAAAAACCTGCTTTGCTCATGATGCCTTTCAGCAGTGCACAGTTGGAGACACTGTGCTTCTCAAAGCTTTATCCATTCCAGAAACAAAGTTTGTGAAACATGAACTAAGATTGCTATCAAAGTTGGAAAAGTCATAGACCCAGTGATAGGAAAACTTTGTGCAGGATCTACCTACCTGGAGAGTACAGTCCATTCAGAAATCACTCACTTAACCAAAAATCTGGAAGCACTCAATATCTCTTCAACACAGTGAAGGCGGACTTGGAAGGAGGAATCAAAGGGAATGATTTACATGTTTGCTTTATGGAAAAAATTCTTTTTCTAAGTTTCAACACAAATTGTCCAAGTTTTCTTGTGGTATTTATGAAATAGCTAAAAGTAAATGAAGTAAAAGGTTTGTATGATGGTAATACAAATGTATTTTCATAAAGGTGTATGATCGTGTTTCACTATTTTCTTTTGAGTGAACACACTTTCACATTACACTAGGCATGCCAGCAATCTGCTGCATGTAAGCTCACTGTTTTAGAAGTAATATTAGTTTTCTTTTTTTCATTCAAAGGAATTTTGAATTTATCTGATGACCTTTATTTTGGGGAAAGAAAGCCTTTTGATATAAACAGAAAAGGTCACATTACATGAATATTTTTGATACTATATATTCAAAGTGAGTTTTTAAATTTTTTTCTCTGATTTCACCAGTTTCGGAGGGAAATAGACAACATGTTTATGGTCAGACTTTTTCAGATTAAGCTGTATTAATAAAAATGTAGAAAATAAAAAATTTAAAAAGTATTACTATCACAATTGTTATTCTGAAAAATGTATTAGACTTTGAATCAGGGGATCTGTGTCCCAATTGTGCCACTTAGTAGCTGTTTTCTGGATTGTATATAAAAACATCTAAAACATCTCTCTATCCTCAGGACCTAGTACAGTGCTGGACCTGAAGAAAATCCTTAACACAGGTCTGTGCAAACATTTCAGGTGGCTTTGAAAAGCCCTTCTGCTCTCAAGTCTCAGCATCCTCATTTGAGGGAGGGTAGAGACTGTTCCTGGAGGTCCCTACTAGGTCAGACATTCATTCTACTATACTGCATTCTATTCCCAAGAGTCCTTGAGGGGACGGTTTCCACTTCTGCCTTTAGCAATAGATGTCCTTGTGGAGTAGCGCAGCAATGTGCCCTTTCCACAAGCTCTTTTTATCTCGGAAAACCTGCCCCTCTAGGATCACAACAATTCAGACTTGTCAGGTCCCTAAAGCCAGGCAGCTGACACATTGAGCAGCTTCTGGCTCCTCTGGATATTAATGGATCCTCACGTCTGGGGAAAATGCTACAGTGCCCCATCACCTAATTTAACAAGCGATAAGCTGTTTTTAATTTGCTTTATGTGCTAATTCATCACAGCAACTTTTATAAAATGCCATTAAGATTCACACTTTCCACCCAGGGTGCTTTTAGCAAGTCCATTAGACAAGTGGAATTTGACGCGAATAATGAAACGGTTCTTCGATCTTTCCTGCCCCTCCTGAATTTCAATGTGTAGTGGCCCTTTGCCAACTGGGAAGTCTGGTGAGAGAAGGGTGAAGCAGTTGCTCCTCCTCATGGTTGTGAACATGGTGGGGAAATGCCTGGTACCCCACTAAAATCATGCTTTTTAGGTGTCTCTTGCAATAAGCATTTTATATTCACTGTCTCACTCAGTTTACTGGGTAGGCAATATAGCATTCAGGTTATATGCCAGGCATCCAAGACAGAAGAGTTTAGGCATATGTCCCAATTCTGCCTATATTCCTGGCTATATTCCTAGCATTTTACTTAACCTCTTAGGTGACTACTCTACCATAGCTGACTATTCCCGTACTTAGAAAGTGCAGATAATCATGGCATTAACTCAGAAAGTTGTTGTGAAGATATGACAATGGGACGATGCATGTAAAATGCCCAACACAGGATGAATTCCAATTTGTTATTATTTCTGAAAATTCTGCCATGTATGTATTTTTGGTCTTAAATAAAATGAGACTTAAAGAGCTGAAATTAAAAAAAAAAAGCTAATAAGTAACAGAACCAGGATTAAAATAAAGATATGTGTCTGACTCAAAA